CCAAAATAGCAAAACGGTCTAATTTCTCAACATCATATTTAGCCTCATACATAGAAGAAACACAGTATATTTAGCATATCAAGATTTCAACAAGGTCTCCTGTGATTCCTTTGGACAGGACGGAAAAAGATGGATTGGATGTACAATTACATAGATTTGTAATTACTAAATTTCAGTGTCATAGCATGTTGATTAATGGATCTAGTCATTCCACGAACTCTGTGCCAGGCACTGAGGCGAATGTTGAAGACACAAACGTAGCAGTAGCATGGTCCCTGCTTGCGTCTGCGTAAGCTTGTGCCGGCTGGGAGGGTGATAAGGTCATGTCCTGAAGCGTATCCTGGACAACAGCAGGCAGAATCCCGGAACTGGGCTTCAAGCATCAGCTGAGTAGTTGAGCTCTATATCTTCAAGACCCTGGCCCAGCCCTGACGTTGTGTGAGTCTTATAAGTGAAAAAGACGTCTTTATCTAGATATGGTATGAAGCTCAACAGTTTAGTAACATAAGTGATGCCAGCAAATAGCTGTAGAAGTTAGGAGACTGGTAAGTGCCTATGTGCCTTAGGTCAGGAATGATGCTGTGCTTCTCTAAGCTGAGCGAGGGACCACATTTAAGGCTGTGATCAGCATGTGTAGGCATGTGTGTGAACAAGATACGTAACTTAAAATTGTACAGCTGTACAAATGTAAGATACTCTCATCAAAGTCAAAATTATTTCTCACCCTTATATATTGATTCAACCCTTGTGATGAGCTTTTAGTTTTTATTTTCCAACTAGAATTTCTTGGTTCAAAGCATCTAGTTGTTTCTAGTTCCCTGTGTCCTCGGTTAATGGGGGGTTACGTATCTCATGACCGTGTTGTGGCGTAGGTGCTTTTTGTCTGTGGTCACCACCAAGTGCCGTGCAGTGGGTGACACTGCCTGTCGGAACAGGAGCACTCAGGGACCGTAGACCTTTAAGCATTCAGCACTGGGGCTTGTGGTGAAAAATTAAGCATGGGAAAATTGATCTTTCCTACAGATTGAATTCAGTGATGACCATGTTTTTAACAAGGCAGTGTTATAGATTATAACTAAATTATAATATTAAGCACTGATTTGGAATCAGACAAATTGGGTAACATTGTACAGTCTTTCTTTCTTCATCCATAGAATGATGATAATAATCCCTACCTCATGGCATTGATTTTACTATTAAAATGGGATAATATATATATAAAATACTTAGAACCGTTCCTGACATGAAGTTTTTCAGTAAACAGTCAGTACTCCTCTTAACATATAAATGTGTGCATGGTATTTTCTGAGCCTATTCTTCTATAGACTAAAATAGAGATTTTCTATGAATAGTTTTGTTGCCCAGATTCAAGGGTATTGGAGAGATTTTTATTTGTTAGTCCCGCAGAATTCTAGTACTCCAATAGCACAGAATGCGGACTGAGTTGTCCAGCATGTTTTCCTCCGAGCAGTCATCGTCTTTCACTGCCCTTCCTGGCCAAGTGTCATATAAATGCTGGACTGAGCTTCTGGGTGCTGGCGTCTGGAATTTCACAGCATTCATCTACACTTAGTATAGCTGTTGCTGAAGAGGCCTGGCAACACTGCGGTGGGTTCCTCTTCCTGCCGAGGTGTTAATGGTTTTAAAAAAAACAGACAAGTTCAGCCAAGCTTGCTTAATTCAAGATACACTCCCTAAATGGCAAAAGCAAGAAAGATCCGTACTACGTGGCGTTGTTATTGTATCCTGTATGCCTGAGTTTTGAACATAAAAATTTGTGATGTTTATAGATAACTGAATTAGATTCAGCAGGATTTTTTATTTAGACACTGTATTAGTCAACTCAGGCTGCCATACAAAAGACCATAGACTGGGTGGCTTAAACAACAGAAGTTTATTTTCTCACAGTTCTGGAGGCTGGGAGTCTGAGGTCAGGGTGCCAGCATGGCCGGGTTCTGGTGACGGTGCTCTTCCTGGCTTGTGCACAGCCCCCTTCTCCCTGTGTCCGCACATGGCCTTTCTTTGGTACATGCTCACAGAGATAGAGAGAGCAGTCTCTCTCACTTCCTCTTCCTATAAGGCCACCCATTCTATTGGGTTACGACTCTACCCTTATGACTTCATTTAACCTTAATTACCTCCTAAAAGCCATGCCTCTAAATACAGTCACGCTGGGGGTTAGGGCTTCAACATAAGAATTTGGGGAGGACATAGTTCAGTCCATAGCAGGCACTTTTCCACATCCAAAATGGGAAGAGGAATTTCATATGAGTAGTCTACAACCAAGGTAGTGAGGATCCTAAACCCTATTAGAAATAGTATTATCCCACAATAAGATATATGGATTAATAAACATCAAGCTTCTTTAAATTTGACTAAAATTTTATTTTATAGTAACACTGATTAATGAAAAGTTAAAAGCTCTAATTGGACTTTGTATATGCCTTGGTGATTTTTATGAAAAATAAATTAATAAACGCCATTTACTTGGTTAACTAATTTTTAGCTCTACCACCATCTTTAAGTTTTCTTACTAAACATACCAAACCTAACTCTAATGAACCCTCTACGATCTAGAGTCTAGATACTGCCAGTGTACAAGAAATACAGGGGACATAAAAGTATGTTAAATGATACCTCATGGATGCGGTCTACAAAATCCAAAGTGTAGGACCATCTACAGGACAAAAATCGCAGTTTCTTCAATTAAAAAGAGAGAGAGGGCAACAAAAAAGGAACGAACTATTGATAAACACAACAACTTGAAACGATGTTTAGTAACCCTAGTATGTAATCCAAAAGGTTATGTCTATATGATTCCATTTATATGGAATTCCTGATCAGGAATTGGCACCCTTTGGAGCCAGTGCCTAGAGAGGTGCTAGTCTTCGTGGGACATCTCCAGCAGTCACTGTGGCCAGAGCCCCCTGGGTCCGTGCCTGGGGCCTAGGACAGCTGCAGGCAGCGTGCCACTGCTGCCGTCAGCAAGCACTGAACAAGCGTGTCTGTGGAACTGGCCGCTGACGTAATAAAGGGGGTGAGGAATGAGTTTGCAGTGAGACTATGGAGTTAGAATTAGCAAACTCGAATTAGAGAACAGTCTCCTCTTAGAACAAGTAATACAAGCTTGAAGGACAGTGCAGATTCTGAGAAGGCAGAGCTCGATAGGAACTGAACTAGACAGAGAAAGCTTCATGGAAGAGGTGCTAAGCGAGTGGTTTGGGTGGAAAGTGTGGATTTCAGGTAGTATCGTATGAGTGAAGAGAGGTAGCAGGAATGAGTGTGCCAGACGTGAGTAGCTGGGATAAAGTTGTCTGGACCTGAAGTGTGTATTGTGCAGATGGACCAGGGCCAGGCCATTGCAAATCAGGCAGAAGATTACAGTCTTCTTAGGGTCAGCATTAGACCATCCTTGTAAGTTTTTGAGTAGGGGTGACCTGACAAAATTATGATTATTCAAATTAAAGTTTATACAGGCTGAGATGCAGTTCAACCAAATGTAAAATGTCCTTTAAAATGTTTAAACCGGTAGGTTCTGTTTCTTGATCAGATGCATGGTTGTGTTCACTTTGTGAAAACTCATCAAGTGTACAGTTACAGTTTGTGCACATTTCCATATGTGTATTACACTCAAAAAAAAATTTTAATATCCTTGCTGGAATGTAGGGGAGCTAAGTTGGGACCACCAGATCTGTTACATGTATACATCTATGAACCCATAAATGACAAGGGAAATAATAATCTATCACTAACTTGCCCGAGGTCACACAGATGGTTAATGGTGGAGCTAGGTCAGAAATTTTTAGGTCTCCGGATTACCAGTCCAATAAGACTTCTTAATAGAAAATGATAAGCATTTCATTCTTTTTAGCATGATACGTGAGATCTTGGCTATAGTCGCCTTCCTTAGTCTACATATATTTCTTACGTATTGGAGAAATCAACAGATGAATTAGCATTTCCCAAATACAGGCAGGAATTCTTTCTCTAAAGATTTGCATCTGAACATAGATAAGAATGTCCCACTTCCCTAAGATTTACCCTTAAAATAAATCAGAACTTTTTCTGAGTTTATTCAAAATGCATTTTTTGTCATACAGACACACATACACAATGTAGCCCCAGCTTGTCTATTTCTGGGACAGTTTGCAAGGACTTAGCTACAAGCAGATATGTAATAAGTGGAACAAGTAAGTTGTGAAATTGTATGTTCAATATGATCTCATTTTTATAATAATATATTAGAAATATAGGGCTGGCCCTGTGGCCGAGTGGTTGAAGTTCTGTGTGCTCCGCTTCGGTGGCCCAGGGTTCACAGGTCCGGATCCCGGGCGCAGACCTAGACCACTCGTCAGCCATGCTGAGGCAGTGACCCACATACAAAACAGAGGAAGACTGGCACAGATGTTGGTTCAGGGTGAATCTTCCTCAAGCAAAAAAAAGAGGAAGCGTGGCAACAGATGTCAGCTCAGAGCAAATCTTCCTCACACAAAAAAAAAATCTATTAAAAAAATATATATACATGTAGACAAAAATAATTAGGATATTTACCGGAATGTTAATGTTGATTATCTTTACAGTATATGGAAGGATTATAGGTAATTTTATTTTCTTCTTAATGTGTTTTTTTTAATTTTCAACAATGAAATAAATTTTGTAATCAGGAAATAAATTCTCTTTTTTTAACTTAAAAAAATTTTAAGACACATCAAGCTTCCTGTCTAGATACAGTCACGTGTGCAAGCCCCACCCCAGCACTTTTCCACTTCACTGTGGAAGGGATCGGCCAGTGGCCATGTTCCCCTACATGAGACTAGAATGCTAATTGACTATGGGAATGCGGGGTGTTCACAAGCTAAATATTCAGCCCTATTTCAGTAAGACATTTCATTTAGACATAAAATGTCACAATAAGACAGCCTGGGAGTGGTATGGTTATCTATAAAGAATCTACTTAAATGTGCAACACAGTGTAAAACTCAATGGCAATGTTTCTGCAGGTATGCTGGTATCCTCCTGGGCATCACAAATACATTCGCCACTATTCCAGGAATGGTTGGGCCTGTCATTGCTAAAAGTCTGACCCCCAACGTAAGTAGATAATTTGCTTGTAAACTGAAATGGTCTAAACAGTTCACTTGAAGCTGTACACCTGTGTCAAAGTTGAGTATTTTTTAATTAAGAGTAAAATTCTGAATGTTTGTTCTTATGCAATTCCTTATAGCAACAAAAAGCTAAGTGCCTTAATGGATAGGAAAGTGTATTTTCAAAGAACACTCTGGATTTTAGACAGAACGACAGACCTAAGTTAAATGAAGACCTTGTAGCTGAAACCACCCAAGTACTTAAAAATTGTGATATTATACCAGATAAGTAACTTATGTCTTTGGTTTGAGCAAATAAAAACTAGCAATGTAAAATTATTCAAGAATAGATCCACGAAAGTGAGGTGTCAGGAAATCATGTGAGAATGAATAAGGAACAGCTGAAACAATGGAGAATGTTTAGAGGAGCAGAAGGTTGTGAAGACGTGGTCAGTGTCCTCACATACTTGAAGGACTGCCACGTGAAAGATGGAGACTTCTTGGCCGTTCCACAAAGACAGATGGAAAGAAGTTACCAGGCAACAACAGGAAAGCTTCTGTTTAGACCTGTTCCTACGTGGAATGGGCTGCCTTATGAGTTAGTGAACCCTGAAATAGGCAGACATGTATTCAACAGGCATGTTTTGAGTGCTTATTAATATGCTAGGTACTGAGGATTCTAAGGCAAAATGACAAGCTTCTGCACTTGAGAAACTCATCATTTAGAGATTACATGTAATCATATAAAGTACAGTGTGACAAATGCTGCAGAAAAAATGTGTGCAGAGTATGGCACAGAGGAGAGAACAACCACTTTGTGGGAAGGAGCCCTCGAAGAGTGAGCTGGGTCTGGGAAGGGCTGGCCTTGGCTGGGCGCTGAGCCCTGAGAAGCTGGGTGGGCCAGGGTTGGGCCAGCCTGAAGCTGGAAGGCAGCATGGGGCCAGATCAGTAAGCAGACACTCCGCATTCTAAAAGGTTGCCTACATTGTGTAAGAAATCAAAATAAGTGACCTCAAAGTCCCTTTCCAACTCTAGTTTTCTACTGTTTAAAAAAATCTTGGGGCTGGCCCTGTGGCATAGTGGTTAAGTCCAACGCACTCCACTTCAGTGGCCTGAGTTCACGAGTTGTTCCCTGGGCACGGACCTACACCACTCATCAAGCCATGCTGTGGCAGCTACCCACATACAAAATAGAGGAAGACTGGCACAGATGTTACCTCAGGGCTAATCTTCCTCAAGCAAAAAAAGAGGAGGATTGGCAACAGATGTTAGCTCAGGGCTAATCTTCTTCACCAAAAAAAAAATCTCAAGGACTGATGAAATATATTCTTCAAGAGGCTGACTTAAACCTCTAAAAGAGACTTAATTTTCTCCTTGTTTTGTCTCTGTGATCAAATTAACACTATCTAATCCTTAGAATTTCAGGATATGCTTGCAAAGTTTCTTATTTAGGGGCCAGCCCGGTGGCGCAAGCAGTTAAGTGCACGCACTCCGCTGTGGCGGCCCGGGGTTTGCCGGTTCGGATCCCAGGTGCACACCGATGCACTGCTTGTCAAGCCATGCTGTGGCAGCATCCCATATAAAGTGGAGGAAGATGGGCATGGATGTTAGCCCAGGGCCAGTCTTCCTCAGCAAAAAGAGGAGGATTGGCATGGATGTTAGCTCAGGG